GCAGGAGTGCTGGCGGTCTTCGTGCCCGGTCTTTCCGTAACCAGCTCGCCCGCGCCGACAGAAGTCCTTGCCCTCTCCTCGGCTGCACGCAAGAAGGGAAGTGGCCCCAGGCAAGAATGGCCCTTGGGGAACAACGATAGGGGGAGACAGGCATAGGAGGGGATGCATCGACCTGGAATCGGCGTTACATCGTCGACAGATCGGCGACTGGCCCCCGATGGTGAATCCGCACCTCCCTGAGCCGGCTGGGGACATCGGGCCCCTGTCGGCCATCAGTGGGCGATCGGGGTCGATGCCTCCCCCCCCCTGTGTGCCCATCCCCCCCCCTATGCCCCTGCCCCTGACCCCTCTTATGACTACCTACCAGACCACCCCAACCCAACCCGAAGACCCGAATTTGACCCGAATTTCGGGTTGGGGGGGGTACGGATACCATGTGTTTTCTCAACGTTTCCCGACCCCCCCCCACTGGAAATCGAGGATAAATTTGGGCCTTCGGGTTGGGTTGGGGTGGTTTGGTGGGTGGTGATCTTAAGGCCGCCCCCGAGGGCGGGCGCCCGCCGCGGGGGCGCCCACGGCCGCGGCGCACCCGCGGGGCCCGATGCCGTGGCGGCGAGGCGCGCGGGGCACACCTCTGGAAGCCCGCAGCCTCTCCGCCGCTCGGGCCGCCGAGCGGGCGAGGAGGAGGAGGAGGAGGAGGAGGAGGAGGAGGAGGAGGAGGAGGAGGAGGAGGCGGGGGAGCTTGGGGTGGGGTGGGCGTTGGGCCCAGGACGGGCACCGAGCCAGCGTGCTGCAACAGAACCAGGGGGCCCAAGGGCACACGAAGTCGCTGGCCCAGCGGGCCAGAGGCGTGCTCAGATCTCCGGCAACTGGTTCGCAATGCTTCTCGTTCGCGCGCGCGGAGCGGCCCCCGGGGGCCCCCGGAGGAACAGTGCCCTGGCAAGGTCCCGGGAGAAGCCCCCAGAGCACTCCAGGGGAGGGCCATTTTTCGACACCCCTCACAAAGATCGTGGCCTCCGAGGGGGGAGCCGCAATCGACTACCCCACCTCCCGCCCCAAGAGGCCCCCAACAGCCCTCCAAGAGGCCCTGGTCACTGGGGGCCCCCAAGACGCCGTCAAGGAGCCCCAAGAGACTCCCAAGAGGTCCCCAAGAGGCCCACAAGAGGCCCTAAACAGAGCTCTAGGGCCGGCGGCATGAGCGAAGCGATCAATACATACACACTTCCCCACAGTTTTGGGTCTTCGTCTTCCCCCCACGTCCCCTATAGCTCCCCATATTCCAAGGGGAATCGACGATTCATTGTGTCTGTGCTGTTTCCCCCCCCTAAAACAGGGCTAAGATCGGGATAAATCGCTCCAGAGCGTTCTGGAGCGCTCCCAGAGCGTTCCGGAACGCTCTGGAGCGGCCGCGGCGCCGAATACATCCTCCAAACCCGCCGATTCTCAGAGATCTCGAGTGATCCCGATCCGATTCTGTCCCGATCTTCGCGCCGTTTGATGGTGTCTGTGCTCCCTGACCTTCCAGAGAGCTATTTTTTAGCACTGGAGACCTTAAAACCTAAAAAGCTGAGCGAAACAGCCTAAAACCAAGACGTAGAATAGTTTTGGGACAGGTTTTTAGGTCGGGTGCTATTTTTTAGCCCTCCTGGAAGGTCAGGGCTGTTTCCCCCCTGAGAGGAGGCACGCCAAAGCAGGAGCCCACGGGGGCTTCGTGTGCCTGGCTTCGCGGCGGGCCTCGGCCACGGGCGGGCTCCCCGAGGAGCACCGGCCCGGAGCGCAGAACCCCTCTGGAGGAGGAGGAGGAGGAGGAGGAGGAGGAGGAGGAGGAGGAGGAGGAGGAGGAGGGGGAGGAGGAGGAGGAGGAGGAGGAGGAGGAGGGGGAGGAGGAGGAGGAGGAGGAGGAGGAGGTGGAGGAGGAGGAGGAGGAGGAGGAGGAGGAGGAGGAGGAGGAGGAGGAGCAAGGGGAGGAGAAGAAGCAGCAGCAGGAGCAGGAGCCCAAACGCGGTCCTTGCGTTCAACGTCTTGGCCGTATGGGTGGGAGGGCGCCGCGCGCGGGAATCGGCGATCCCCCGCCGATGCATCGGTGGCGTGATCGACGGGCCACGCGCGCGCTCAGACCGATGGGGAGGAGGAGCGGGGAGCGGGGGAGGGGCGAGGCAAGGAGCGCGCTCTGAGGCTCCCGTTCGAGCGGGGGGGCCCCCATCCGACAACACACACACAGCCCCTCCCCCGAATTCCAGCCCAAGAATTCTGAGGGGCGTTTTGAGGCAACTGCTGGGAGGTCTTGGCCGGAAGGATCACGGAGGATTAAGCCCCACTGGGGGGCTGTTACGCCGGAGTGGGCCTCGAATGAAGCGGGATTAGGCGAGATAAGCCGGGATTAAGAGAGGTTAAGCCGGATTAAGCGGGATTGAGCCGGATTTCGGACCAGGCACGGGGGGAGAGCAACGACAAGGAGTTCTGCCGCCGTGCTCTCTGTCTCGGGGGGCCCGCCCCAGGGGCCGTCGACGGAAACGTCTCGGGATCGAAGGAGCCCTCGGGGGTCGGAGGAAGCGGAGGGCGGCCGCGGAGGAGCGCGGGGGGCATGTCGCAGGCACCTCTTATAGTGTCTCATCCCTCCAGTCCTGCTCGCCATCACCCGCTCTCTCTCTCTCTCTCTCTCTCTCTCTCCCCGTCTTGTCCCTCTCTGCAGTCTTCCAGCGAGCGAGCGGCTGGGGCTCAGGAGGTTCTGACCCCGCCCATCCTGCTCTCCTGGATGCCCTGTACTCTGCTGGCAAGCGGAGATGATGGCTGCGGGGAGATGGCACCGAAACCCACAAGCAGTCACGAGCGTCGGTACGGTCAGCGCGTCAATAGAACCAGACGCATGGACGCACCAACATGCGAAGCCACACACACATACACCCTGAGACAAGACAGACACATACGCATGTACAAAAGCCTTCGCCTTAACACGGTTAGTTGAGTATAATCAGTCGTAGCGCCTTTTTGAAGAACATCTTGGGGTGATCTGGGGACCCTGGGGGTGTACCGCTTTCGGGGCATGTTTGAAACATCGGTTATCTTCACGAGCTGCCGTGTATCCCTCTCGAGTCGTTCTGGATCAATCGCGGACACGTCTCGGGGGTTGTCAGGCCCCTCTGCATGGCCTCCCGGGGCTCTCCTCGGGCTTCATGGGAGGACTTTTTGGGGTACGTTCTGCCCCCCCTCGGGCAGCCATGGCTATGGACGGGGCGAGGCGAGATGCGGAGAAGGGCAAGGAGGGCAAGGAGGCGAGATGTGGAGGAGGGAAAGGAAGCGACCAAGGAGGCGAGATGTGAAGGAGGGCAAGGAGGGCAAGGAGGAAGAGGACAGCAAGGAGGCGATGGACGTGCGCAGCCAACTGCTAAGCTCAAAAAATCTCGCCCACCTATCAATCGGCTGAGGTCCGCACGCTTGAGGTGCTCAGGGTTGCCGTGATTGTGGTGGTGCTTGTCGCGGTAGTCGAGGTCAACGTGGTAGTGATTGTTGTGCTGCTCGTTGCAGAAGCCGACGCAGTGGTTGTGCTACTCAAAGTTGTGCTGGTACCGGTGGTGCTAGTCCGAGACGTACTGCTCTCGGTAGTGGTTGTTAAGGTGGTGCTGGTGGAAAAGGTGGTGGTGGATGTCGCGCTCATGCTTGTCAACGTGCTGCTGGCGGTGGTGGTGGTGACAGTGAGGCTGCTGCTCAGAGTGGTGGACGTCACACTGATGCTGCTACTCTCCGTGCTGCTGGTCAAGGTAATGCTCGAACTCTCCGTACTGCTGGTGCCAGATACCGTAGACAACGTAGAGCTGCTGGACTCAGTGGTGCTCGTCAAGCTTGTGCTGGAACTCCCACTTGTGCTGGTGCTGGTGGTCCCTGTGGAGCTGGTCTCAGTCGTGCTTGTCAAAGATGACGTGCTGGTGCCGGTTGTCGTTATAGAACTGGTTCTTGTGGTGCTAGTTTGGCTGCTGCTTGAAGAAGTGGCGCTGCTGGTGACAGACGTACTGGAGGTCTCAGAGGTGCTTGTCTCGGTAATGCTTGTAACAGTATTGCTGGTTTCAGTCGTACTCGTCACTGAAGATGAAGAGGTTACTGATGTGGAGCTGGATCGCGAGGTGCTGGTCTCAGACGTGGAGGTAAGGGTCGAGCTGGACTCTGATGTGGTCGTACGAGTCCGACTCGTGGCGGATGTTGTAGGCGTGACGGACGTTGAGCTCGTCATCGAAGTCGTAATTGTGGTCGAACTCGTCACGGACGAAGTCTCCGACGTGGTGCTGGCTGTGCTCGAGCTGGTCCCAGAACTGGTTGTAACAGTCGAGCTGGCTGTCGATACCGTCGAAGTCTCTGTGGAAGAACTGAGCGTGATCGAACTCGACACTGACTCGGTCTCCGACATGGTGCTGGCTGTGGTCGAGCTTGTCTCGGAAAGGGTAGCAGTAGTCGAGCTGGTCAACGATGTCGTGGAAGTCTGTGTGATGGTGGTGAACGAGTTCGTACTCGTCTCCGTCGAAGACGTCAACGTCGAAGTCTCCGTCGAAGTACTGGTCGCGGTGGTGGTGGTCCAGCTGGTGCTGCTGGTCCCCGTTGTGCTGGAAGTCCCACTAGAGCTGGTCCGAGTTGTGCTGCTGCTTTCGGTGGTGCTGCTGGTACTAGTGGTGCTAGATAGGGTAGAGCTGGTGGTCCCAGTGGTACTCGTCAAGCTGATGCTCGAGCTATCGCTTGTGCTGGTCATTGATGTGCTGCTCTTGGTGGTGCTAGTCTCGGTCGTGCTGGTCCAAGTGCTGCTGCTTGTCATAGTTGTGCTGGAAGTTTCCGTTTCAGTTATTGTGGTTGAGCTAGTCTGGGTGGTGCTGGTCAAAGTGCTAGTTAAGGTCTCGGACGTAGTGGAAGTCTCGGACGTTGAGGTCTCAGTTGTGCTTGTCAATGTGAAGGTGATGGTGGCTGTGCTGGTCCACGTAGTGGACGTCTGGGTCGTGCTTGTTACGGTAGAGCTGGTTTCAGTGGTGGTTGTCCCTGTGGTGCTGGTGTCCGAGGTGGTAGTCCGTCGACCCCCGCTTACCGGGTGCAGAGAGAGGTGTGAGACATCTGGCTGCCCCCCCTCCTCCCTTCCCCCCTCCCTGGGGCCCACAGATGCTGCTAAAGAGGGGGTGGGGTCGACGGGCTCACCAGCGCACCTCCTGGGCGCTCAGAGCCTCCAACTTTGGGTCGGGCCTGTCCCCCTACAGGGGGGCTTTGGGCGAAAAATGAAAGATTGCCCCCAAAAAGCCTAAAATACTCAAAAAGGGTGAAACATCGTCCCCAGACTACATTTGGAGGAGGAGGAGGAGGAGGAGGAGGGGTCGACGGGCTCACCAGCGCACCTCCTGGGCGCTCAGAGCCTCCCAATCCACCATCCGCGGCCTCCGAGATGCCCAGGATGTGATCCGAGACAGCTCAAGCAGGGCTCTCTGACGGGCCGGAGAGGCCTCTGGAACATCCAAGAGGTCCGAAGATGCCTCGAAGACGGTCGAATAGGGCTACATCTTCAAGTCGGGCCCGTCCCTCTAAGGAGGACTCTTCAAAACTAGTAATGAGATACTCTGGGGACGAGGTTTTTACTACTTTGGACTATTTTGGACTATGTTTTGACTATTCTTTACTTTTCGTCCAAAATCCGCCTGTATGGGGGACAGGCCCGACCTAAAGCTACATTCGGACCCACAGGACGCCCTCAATAGGCAACAATCCGGGTAACTTGAAGGGGAACTGGGACACACAAATAAAAACACACAAATAAAAATAGTCCCCATATTTTCCCATATTTTCTGGGTTTCTGTCTTCCCCCCCACTTCCCATATTTTCCCATATTTTCCTGGGAATCGCCGATTAATTGTGTCTGTGTGTTTTTTCCCTCCTGATAACTCCATATGTTTCCGAACGCCCGAGACAACTGGCGAAGCCCCCCAGACGGAGCTGAGACGGCCAACACAGAGTTTTTCTATCACGGCCGAAAGGGCCTTCAAGAAGGCCCGAAGAGGCGAAATAGAGGCCCAGGAGGGAGAACTCGTACAAGCCCTTGGAGCCCCCCCACCCACATTCGGGGATGGACAGACCCCCCTTTAGTAAAACGTGGTTTAGTGAAAACGACCTGAGGCCCAATCCTGGCGGGCGCAAGCCTGGAAAATAACGGCCACGGCGCCCTCTCGAGAACCGAAAACGGACAATTCACTAATCGACGTGTCACTGTTCGGGGCTCTGTCCACCCCCGACACATGCAAGATGGACCCCGATACGCCCAACATGCCCCCCCACGAGGAAAGCAGGAGGGAGGATCCAAGAGGCCCCCGAAAACCACCCAGAGGGTACAACAAGAAGCCTCCAGGAGCTCTGAGAAGGCTCCCAAGATGCCGCCTCCGAGGCTTCAACAGGCCCCCGAGAAGCTTCGCAACAGACGCGGACACTGTGGAGGTCGAACCAGCAACAAGTGCACGCAGACACAATACCAGAAATCGGCAAACAACACATACGAAATCGGAGGGCGCACATCTCCTCTTCTGGCGGTCGGCGGTATAACGAAAGCTTCTTGAATAAATGTATGGCTGGTTTGAGAAGTACTCGTAATACTCGAAGTCATACTGGTCGTGGTGGACATTGACGTAGAGGTCAGCGTCTTCGAGGAACTTGCCGTGGTCGAGCTAGTCTCCGAAGTGGAAATTGTACTCGAGCTGGATACGGTTGTAGAGGACAATGATGTAGTGGACGTTTGAGAGGTGGTTGACGTACGGGTCTGGGAGCCCGTGCTTGTCAAGGTGAAGGTCATGGAGGCCGTGCTGGTCTCGGTGGAGCTGGTAGCAGTAGAGCTGGATGCGGTGGTGGTGCTCGTCGTGCACAGGGCCGAGCTCCACTGATCCTCGGTGTGGCCGACATCGCCGTCGTTGTGCAACAGCAGCTTCCACCCCACCAGCTGCGCCCCGTGGAGCTGGGCGACGCCGAGCGTCACCTCCGCGGCGCAGTCCGAGACCGCGCACTGCACCGCGACCTCCGGGGCCGGAGGCGCGTCTGGAGCCTGCGCGCAGACCACGCGCACGGGGTCCGACTCGACCCCGCCCTCGGGCCACAGGCCGGAGCTGTCCACGGCCGCCACCCTGAGGTACTCGACGGCCCCCACGCTGCCGCAGACGCGCTCGAACAGCGGCGGGCACCACGCCGAGACGTAGCCCGCGAAGACGTACGGCCCCGAGGCGTTGCTGGACGCCCTCACCTCGTAGCCGTCCATCCACGGCACGATCGCCGTCCCAGGCCACTCCGACCACCCCACCGTCACGGCGCCCGGCGCGGAGCCGATCCTGCGCGGTGCCGTCGGGCCCTGCGGCCGCTGGGCCGCTTGCAACTCCAGCGAGCCGCTGTGGGGGCCGCAGCCCGCGGGGCTGCACGCGCGGACCTCGAGGCGGTACGGGCGGCCCTCCGCCAGGCCCTCGAGGGTCGCGGCCGCCGTCGCGGTGACTGTGACGGAGGCCTTGAGCGTGGACAGGTCGACGCAGTGCACCTCGAACCAAGTGGCCGAGGTCCAGAGCGAGGCGGACTGCGGCATCGCCCACGCGATGGACAGCGCGCCCCTGGAGTAGCCGACCGCGTGCGGAGCCGTCGGCGCCGGTGGACTTCCCAGAGAAAGAACGGCTGTGGCGTTTGTGGCGCTCCAGCCGTTCGCATTCCTGGCCCTCGCGCTGAAGCGATACAGGCTCGCCCCCGAGCACCCGGTCAGGGAGACGGTCGTGAACGTGGAGGCTCCAGAGTAGACCAGTTCGTCCGCCCAGTCGCCGCGGCCACAGTCCCAGTAGAGCTCGTAGCCGCTGACGTCTGGCTCCGCGGGCGCGTCCCACGAGACGCTCAGCGAGGAGCTGGTGAAGCTCGTGAGCGTCAGCTCGCTCGGCGGGCCAGGCAGGTGACTGTCCGCTAGTGTCACGAACGAACTGGGCGCCCCCTCCAGCTCCCCATTGTGGGCCGTGACGTAGAGGTACAGCTCCTCGCCGTACAGATGCAGGCCCTCGAGCCGGAGCTCGAAGGACGCCTGATCGCCGCGCACCTCCCCCAGGAGCCGGTCTGGCGTGACCGCTGGGAGGCCCAGCCAGACCAAGTAGTGCGTGACGCCCACCCGCAAGCCGGGGCTCGGCGGCGCGTCGAGGCCGCCGGTCTCCGACGGCGGCACCCAGTGCAGCACGGGCGGTCCGGCGGCGGGGCGCGACAGCCGCAGGTCCTGCGGGCTGCCCGGCAGGCCCACGGCCAAGAAGGCGGCCGCGGGGCCAGGCTCGGACCAGCCCGCGGCCGTGCGGGCGCGGACGCGCACCCGGAAGGGCGTCGACGGGTAGATGCCGCCGAGCGTGAGGCTCGTTCTCTCGGGGCCCAGCGCGACGGCGACGACGAACTCGCCGCCCAGGCCGTCGTCGTGCTGCAGCTCGTACGCCTCCACGGGGAGGCCGTGCGTCTCGGCCGGGGGGTCCCAGGACAGCGACACCTAGAGGAACAACAAGTTGCACAAATATGATTTGTTGAAGGGCCGTGCGGAGTGCTTGGATCGGCGCTGGAATCCCCTCTCTGTCTGGCGCGCGGAGCGCGCCAGGGGGGCGGCACCGGAGGCGCCGCCAGGGGGCTCCAACGCCGATCCGGGAAATCCGGGCAGACGTCCAGAAACTCGTGCGACGAGAAAGAAGAAGAGGGCCTTATAACACGGGATGTGTCGACCCCTATCCTAGGTTTCGTGGGGTTTTCGAACGGACCAAACATTTGAGGCCGTACCCTGGGATATACAATGCGGTGGCGTCCATCCCAGATAGGGGTGCGTCCGAATGGCCCCCCTGGAGTGTATCCCAGGGCTCCCCCCACTTTCTGAGCGGCTAAACGTTTCGGGCAGAACCTGGGGATTGGGGGAGAGAAAGCGCCTGCGACCTTACGCGCCGACCCCAGCGTTGGTTTTTGACACCGCGCTGGATCGTTCAACCTTGAACGATCGGCCGTCTCCGCAACGTCCAATCGTTCAACATCGATCGATTCTGGGCCGCCGGTCGATCGATCAAGGAACCCCCCGGCGTTATCATTAGCACCGCGCCGTAATTAAATAATTATTTGGGGGGGTTTTCGCCGAGCGATATTATTAGCACAGCGCAAATGGAAGGAAAATAAATAATTCCAACGCCCCGCCACGCGAGATGGCATAGCGACCTGATGGGCTGGCTGACGCGGGCCGACAGCGCGGCGAGCCACCTCGGAAGCGAGGGCGCTATACCTCGCGCCCTCACGCGGGCAGCCTGCGCGCCCGCGCCGGCGAAGACGGCCCCACTTCTGTGGCGCTGCTCATCTGTTGAGAATCGGGGAGACGTAAGACCCGGGTACGGAGGAGGAGGAGGAGGAGGGGGGGAAGGAGGAGGAGGAGGAGGAGGAGGAGGAGGAGGAGGAGGAGGAGGAGGGGGAGGAGGAGGAGGAGGAGGAAGATCAGGGGGACGTAAGACCTGGGTACAGGGGACTCGGAAATCCCCGACGAGGTCGTCAAAAAAATGGCGAGGCCGAGCCTGCATTTTGACGAGGCCTCCCGCTGCAGACACCCCACGAGACTCCCCCTCGCCAAAATCCGAGGCGCGGTCGTCAAAAAACGATGGCGAACCCGAGTCCTGGCAAACCCGGGTCTTACGCTCCCCCGAATCTGTTGAGAACAAGACAAAGCGGCATGAACATGAACTTTTGACCGTCCACGCGAATTCCTTGGATCTGCGCTGGGCCCCCTTCCCCAGCGCGCGGAGCGCGCCAGGGCGGCGCCGGAGGCGACGCCAGGGGGTCACAGCGCCGATCCCCAAAAACCCGCGCGGACTGCCCAAAAATTCGTTTTATGCAACTTTTTCCGGGATCTACTAACTCAATTCAATCCCAAACCGGGGCAGTCGGACTTTGCAGGATCCTGCAAGATCCTGAAAGGTCCTGCAGGATCCTGCGCCCAAGCCCAGGTCACCAGTGCGCTCGGCGGTGGACAAACCTGCATTTAATAAACCTCCCCTTAGTGAAAACGGCCCAGGACCGAAACGGACCTGGACCCACAAAAACGACGGCCGCGACGACCTCTCGCGAACCGGAAACGGCCAATTCCTGAATCGACGTGTCAGGGTAGGAGGTATATCAACCTCCAGACTCTCCCCTTCTGAGTGTCGTTTATCCGATCCCCACCCCAGGCGGTGAGGCCTGGGCCCCACTGGCCGATTTACCTCCCCAGATGGGAATATGGGCCGTTCCCTTCGGGTTTCGAGGGGTGTATCCCCAACTCGGGGGGGCATTCTGGTGGGGGTCTCGAAGCAGATGGGGATGGGGATGGGGATCGGATGAACGATCTCGACTCTCCTCTTCGACTCTCGCTCCCCGAGCACCGTCCCCTGGGCGGGCGAGACGCCGCCGTCCCGCCGGGGTGGGCCCATGTGGCCGGGCAGCCGCACGAGCTCGGCCTGCTGCAGCGGCGCAGCCACGCTCGGCCCCCCGCCCGCCCGCAGCGCCAGAGCCTCCGACCACCGCACGCCCCCCGCGGCCGGCGCCTGCACGGCGCCGCCGACCGCGCGGAGCGCGGCGCCCCGGAAGCGGTAGAGCGCGCCCGGCAGCAGCCCGCCGATCGTCGCGGACGTGGCCCTGGTGGGGGGGGGCGCCAGCGGCGGCCAGCAGAGACAGGACGGGAAGCCTCTCCGGCGATGCTCGGCCCCTGGGGGCCCTCGCCGTGCCCCAGGACCGGCAGGAAACGACCCGGCATGGCACACCGGCCCCGAGGAGTGGCACGGGACCTCGGGGCGTCCAGGTCATGGGAAAGTCACGGCGTCGGGGGTCGGGGATGATACTCCTACGCCGATCTTGGCCACGCTCCTCCTGGGCCCAGGACTGGTGTATGCGCCCTCCTGGCTCGAGCACGGAGGCCTGTACACCGATCCTGGGCCCAGGATCGGCCTGGTCTGTCAGGCGGTGTATTGGCGGCGAGCGAGGGGGGGGGAAGTGAGAAGGAGATGGCCTTCTCAGGAGGCTGCGGGACTTCTCAGAAGCTCTCGCGCCGTCTGAGAAGTTCTGCTCTGTCTTCGGGGAAGGCTTAGAAAGCTTCTCGGGAGGCTGGGGGGCTTCCGAGCCTTCTGCTGAGAAGGCCCGCCCCCTCTCACTTCCCCACCTCGCTCGCCGCCGAGTGTGGGCGTGTAGTGGATGCCCTCCGACCTGGTGGGGCTGCCCGCCACGGGCACAAAGTCCACGGAGCCGTCGACCGCGCCCTCGATGGCGTAGTGCACCTCGGCCTGCTCGCCCTCGGCCAGGGGCACCGGGTCCCACGCGACGACGGCCTGGTCCTCTTCCCAGCCAGAGTCGTCGCCGGCCTCCAGCTGCGGGGGCGGCAGGGCGACGGCCCAGTACGCGCTCAGCGTGACGTTCTCTCCGCACTCCACCTGCACGGTGCTGGCGCACACCTGGAACGCGCGGCGGCCGACGCCGCCGTCCGGGGTGAAGGAGAGACCGCTCGTGGCCCCCACCTTGGGGCGGCGAGGTCTACACGTGCCACTGCCTCAGGCCTGGCCCCTCCTGGGCCCAGGAGCGGTGCACAGGTCTCCTTGGCCAAGCCAGCAGAGCTTGTGCACCGCTCCTGGGCCCAGGATGGGCCAGGCCCAGGGCAAGGGAAATGTCTTTAGAAGAACCAAAAAACCGCATACACGTACACTTTTGACGGTCCGCGCGGATCTCTTGGATCTGAGCTGGACCCCCCTCCCTTGCGCGCGGAGCGCGCCAGGAGCGGCGCCGGAGGCGCCGCCAAGGGGTCCCAGCGCAGATCCGATGAAGCCGCGCGGACCGCCAAAAGTTTATTTTTATGCAGTCCTTTCACCTCCAAGTATAGATGATGATCCCGCTGCCCCTACCACCTGCTCGAGCCCTCCGGAGGTGTACTCGAACACCTGGTAGCCCGTCACTGCGCAGCCGCCCACCTCTCGCGGGGGTTCCCACACGAGGGACAGCAGGGCGCCCTGCTCCTCGGAGATCGCGACGCGGACGCTGGCGGGCGCGGAGGGCGGGTCGCACGGCCGGACCACCAGCTGCCCGAAGCCGCTGACGTGGCCTGGCGCGAAGGCCCTCACCCGGACGCGGTAGGAGGAGCGCTTGTCCAAGTGAGACACCACGAGGTCCCTGTTGGAGCCAGTATAGATGGAGGCGAAGTCCTCGCCCGCCAGGTCTTCGCTCATCTGAACCTCGTAGACCAAGAGTGCGTCGTCGAGCATGCCGTTGATGGACCATTCGAGCTCCACCTGGGATGCAAAAGCCACAAGACACAACCGAATGCAGAGTTTCCTCCTGGCCAGCTTTTGGCGCACCACCCCTGCCAGGGAGGCGTTTGGCGCATCACCCTACCATTGTCATGAAACTGTCTTCGCGTCCACAGGATTCACGGCCCGCTGACTGACTGACTGAGTCTGCCAAGAGATAATTCTGGCACCCCTCCGGAAAGAGGCGCACTTGAGCAGGGACCGACCGTCCCCGCATTCCTGTAGGCCTACCACGAAGTGTTCTTAGAACCCCCAAATGTTCGAAGAACACAAAGACATGTTCTTAGAACACAAGTCCGATGTATTAAGACAGGACGGCCCCGGCCAGAATGCTCCAAGAGCACCTCGTGGAAACCACAACAGGCTCTTAGCACACTCTCCGGTAGGCCTACAGGCGAGCTGCTCCGGACGCTTCGCCGCTGCTCGAGGCACAGCTCTCGAGCCTCGCCGGGCCGCGACGTGGCGCGGGCGCCTGCGGCCTGGCACGCGTGTCGGGAGCGGCCAAGAGGGGGGTGTCCAAGAGGGGGGGGGCGCAAATCATGACCGGCGGCATGTGCGCGGCCCAGCGGGGGGGCCAGGGACGTAATGAAACAAGAAGAGGCGCCCTGAAATCTGGGGAACATATCATGGCCCCCGCCATGATATCCCCCCCCCCTAGTCATCACCCCCCTCTTTTCCGCCCCCGAGCGTGGAGAGTCCGCCTGCACCCGCCACCGGGCCCCGGCCCCGGGCACACATTGGCTGGACGGGGCACGCGGAGCCCGTCGCGCAGCCACCGTCCTGCGGGGGCCCGCCGCGCCCCTGGGATACTCTGGGGGCAAGCAGAGGCGCCCCCCTCGAGCTGTCGACGGGCGAACAGAGATGAAGGGGCCCTGGGGCGCACACAGAAATAGACACAGATCACAGGACTCCTCATATCTTCCCATATGTTTTGGGTGTTTGTCTTCCCCCCCCCCCCACTTCCCATGTTTTCCTATATTTTCGGGGGAATCGACGATTCATTGTGTCTGTGTTTTTTTCCCTCCTGAGAAAAAGGGGGCGCCAGCCCCCCCCCGGGGCGGCTGGAAAGTTTCCACCCCTGCGTGGCACCGCAGGGGTACAAACGTTGCGGCCGCCCGGGGGGGCAGACATCCCCGACGGCGGAACAGCCCGTGTTGTACCGTTCCTCGTCCCTGAACTCTGGGGCCCTGGGAAACGCATGGAAGCCCCCGAAGCGCCCCTGGAGGCCCTCGATAAGAATCCCCAGGAAACTGGGGCCCCTTGGGACAACTCCCGGGACTCCCGGACGATCCTGGGCACCTGGAGGCCCTCACGGCAGGCCGCGGAAACCCTCGCTGCTGGGTGTCAGGGCAGACCCTCTGGAAGTCAGTGGCGCGGCGCACGAGGGGGTAGGAGGAGGGGGAGGGCTTCTTGGAAGCAGACTGCTTCTCGAAGGCGCGGGCCTGTCACCTACAGACAAGGCCCGCGCCTTCTAAGAAGCGGGGGCGCTTCTAAGAAGCCTTCCCCCCCCTCCCTCCCCACCCCTCTCTGCGCGTGGCCCAAGTCTGCTGAGAGGCTCCCCTGCAGGTGATCCGCTGCCTCCCACAGATCGAGGCCAGGCATGCAGCGTCGCGCTGCGAAATGCCCTTGGCGAAGAACAGTGTTTGCGCAACGCTCTCACGAGCAGGCTGGCCTGGCACCAACACCGTGGAGCGAGGGCTGCGTAATTACCCGGACCCCCTCGAGCTATGAAATTATCACGACATGAAATTGTTCGCCATTTTCGCTCTCCAGGGGCCCTTGCCGGGCCCTGGGACCGTCACAGAAGAACGACTCGGGGTGAAAAAAACCGGTCCCCGGGGGATGGGTCGAGAGACTTGGGGGAGGGTCGAGGCTGTGAAAAACGGGTCCTGGGGGAGGGTCGACGCTGTGAAAAATTATGACGTCGGGGATCCGGGGGCACAAAAATACCACCCCCTGTGATGGGTTGGTTTTGCATCACCACCACCATGAGTTGGGGGAGGGGGTCCTCCTCCTCCTCCTCCTCCTCCTCCTGCTCCTCCTCCTCTTCGTTATCCTCCTCTTCGTCCTCCTCATTCCCCCCTCCAACTTATGGTGGTGGTGGTGGAAAGCAGGCCCATTACCCTGCGGACACGATCTGCGCACATCGCCCCCTTCAGGCAAGCTGGCCCAGGGGGCCATACACCCCCGCCCCCCCCAGAATTGCGCCCTCGCGCTTTCCCGCTCAGATCCCTCGGCACGACCGAGGGCTCCGCTCGGGGCGATCCCGCCGCCCCGCCGCATGAGCTCTCGACGAGACGCAGCCGCTGGAGCTCCTCCTGCAGGCTCGGCCCTGTCCGAGAGCCACTTTGGAAACCCAGAGGGGCGCCCGGGCCCCGCTGGCCGACCTCTCCCCCCCTGGATGGGGATCCGCGCGGTGCCCTCCGAGTTTCGAGGGGCATGTCCCCAACCGGTGTGGTGGGATGTTGGGGACGGGGTCTGAGGATGGAAACGGGGACAGGTTTGGAAGCCCGAGATGAGTATGGATGAAATGGGCACGATGCCCAACAACAGCAGCAGCAACAACGATAACAACAACGACGACGGCCCCCACAACAACAACAACAACAACAACAACAACAACAACAACAACAACAACAACAACAACAACAACAACAATCATTTTACCCGAACGCTCAGTGTTCTCCCCAGTGCCAGGGTTTTCTTGCGACACCAGCCAATACCCCCACTTCGTGGGGGGGCCGTTCAAGCTCTACCAAATATCCAAACGACTCTTCGAGACCACCCACACCCAGCTTCCCGCCCTATGACGTTGGGACACTTCACTTCGTGGCGTGCGGACGACCCTGGCTACTACACTGGCGTGGGGTACACACCCACAGAGGTTGATCACATCTGTTACATATGATGTGGTACACGGTACACGTGAGATGGTACGCAGTGCCAAGATAGTTGGTCACATTTTTGGGGCAAATTCGTGGGGATGCGATTACAGAAGTACATGTGTTACACTGATGTTATACAGTCCCAAGGATGACGCATGCATTGCTCATAGACTCATGGCGCTATGATCCTAACTCTCAGTGCCCAACGCGCGCGTGCACAGCCAGACGGAGGGAGAGAAACACATGTATACAAGGTTCGTGACATACGCACGGTCCACCATGTTGTAAACGATCGCATGCACGGTAAGTTCTGAAATTATACGTATGTACAAGCAGACATGCGAGGGAGAAAGGGAGATGGCCATCGACAGTTCCAATACGGCTCCAAGGCGGAAGAGGGGGAGGAGGAGCAGGACAAGGAGGAAAGGAGAGAAGCGAGAAAGGAAGAACGCAGACGGCGCGGCTCTGGACACAAAGGGGTGCCATACTTTCTCCTGCTTTCGCAAACCCATAGCTTCTCCTCCTGCTTGAAATTATTGAAAACCCATTGTGTTTGGCAGGATTTCGACATGCGCGCGCGGCGGCCGCGCGCATGTGCACTTCGTGTCATTTTTTGCAAGGGATGGTGGCCCTCGCAGGCGCGCAACCGTTGTTGGAGAAGTTCAAAGCACCTGAAGAAGTAGCACGCAAAGACCCTTTTGACAGAAATGTTTAAAAAGTGGTGTGTTTCCTATGAATCCGCAAGAGCGCGCGGAAGGACATTTTGACAATTTTTTCTTAAAAAACCATTGGGTTTTTGATGTTTTTATGTTAAAATCGTTACGAAACCTAAGGTTTTGGAAGGATTTCGTCTTGCGAGCGCGAATGTCCACTTTACCTTATTTTTTGCAAGGGATTCTTGAAATTTGATCAACTAAGAACAAGAATTTTCATTTTCTATTGTTTTTTGCAAGGGAAAACGAGCGTCAACAAAAAACCGGATCCGGGGGTAATCCACTTTTCTGAAGCTTTCGCAGAAAAATGATGAAAATGTAGCTGCGGCCTAGGTTTTGGGCGGGGGGCGTGCACCAGGGGGTCCAACAATAATAATTCTTTAGAAGTACTAGTGTTCAACAACAACAACAACAACAACAACAACAACAACAACAACAACAACAACAACAGCAATACCAACAACAACACCAACACCAACAACAACAACAACAACAACAACAGCAACAGCAACAACAGCAACAGCAACAGCAGCAACAACACCAACAACAGCAACAGCAACAACACCAACAACAACAACAGCAACAACAACAACAGCAACAATAACAACAACAGCAGCAACAACAACAACAGCAACAGCGATAGCAACAGCAACACCAACAACAACCACAACAACCATACCAACACCATCAACAACAATCGCATCACCAACAACTACAACAGCAACAGCAATAACAACAACGACAACAGCACCAACAACAACAACAGCAACAGCAACTGCAACAGCAACACCAACCACACTACCAACGCCAACAACAACAACCGCATCACCAACAACCACAACATGTACAACACCAAGACCAACAACAACAATAACAACAACAACGACGACAACAACAACAATCATGTTACCCTCATGCGCGATGTTTCCACACGAAGCATGCGATCATCATGCTAACCATCCCCATCATGGGGGACTCTTGTTCTATAGCGGGGTCCGATATTCCCATTCCCAGACCTCCCGCCCAATGAGGTCTTGCAAACACCTCCTCCGAGGAATTTCAACATATCCCGCCTCGAAAAAGCATGCCCGCGCCTTGCTGCGCCGATGCGAGGCCGCCAGTGGAGCCCCAGCCAAGGGTAACGCACAAGGAAGTATGGCGCGACAGTATTGCCCTGGTGGGGATGGGGGCTGTCGGCGGCGAGGCAAGGACCTGGCCCTGAATAGAAAGGGCAGAAGTCTCGAGCAGGGCCGCTGTTGTTTTCCTGGGAGCGGCGCCAATGCTGAAGAGAGTAGGGCGCTAGTCCAGCGTAAAACAAAACGAAGCTTCGAGCATGAACGCTGGTTTTGTTGGGACGGCGGTTGCCAGCGTTGAGGAGGAGCACCGCCTTGAGTAAGAAGGGAGAAAGTCCCGAGCGGGAGCTGTGGTGTTGTCGGAACGGGGGCTGTCGGCGGCGAGGAACAGCACAGTCTTGAGGAACACAAAGAGAAAGCCTCGAGCGGGAGCGTTGTTCTTGCTTGGAGCGGCGCCAGTTCAAAAAAGGAAATGCAACGTACAACGGGAAGACGCCTCGGGCGGGAGCGCTGGTTTTGTCAGGACGGCGGTTTTCGGCGGCGAGGAGGAGCACCGCCTTGAGTAAAAAAGGGAGGACGTCTCGAGCGGGAGCGATGTTGTTGCCGGGGGCGGCGCCGATGAGAGAAATAGTAGCGCGCCAGCCCAAGGTAAAACGGGAGGAAGTCTCGAGCGGTACAGCTGGTTTTGTTGGGACGGCGACTTTCGGCGGCGAGCAAAAGCACTGGCCCTGCAGGAGCGTTGTTGTTGTTATTGCTGTTGTTGCTGTTGTTGTTTTGTTGTTGTTGTTGGTGTTGCTGTTGCTGTTGCTGTTGTTGTGGTTGTTGTTGCAGCCTCCTTTTGCAATGAACATGTAGCCGGCGCCGAGGCGAAAGCGTTAAATCGCCTGGGGGGCCCAGCAATGAGAAGTATACTTGTTTACTCATTAACATCAAATCACTTTAAAACTGTTCGTTCTTACTGGCACGCGTGTCTTGACTTCCGTATAACCCAACCCTCGATGCCCGCCCATTTCGTCTTCGACTGCACCACCTCTCGGACGGAATCTCTTCCTTGTCGGCAATTGACTGAAGTGCAAAGAAGTCTCGAGCGAGAGCGCCGTTCCTGAGTTCGGGGGCCTCTCTGGCCAGGAGCTTTCGGAATACCTATGGAGAAATGTCGAATGGGAGCCCTTGTCGCCGCGTCCGGGCCCCCACCAGCTTGCCTGATTTATGGGAAAGTCTGGAGCGAGAGCGCCGTTCCTGAGTTCGGGGGCCTTTCTGGCCAGGAGCTCTCGGAGTAAATCGTGAGGAAGTATCGAGCAGGAACCCTTGTCGTCGTGGCTGGGCCTCCGCCAACTTAATCCTACCAGCCCTCTGGGCGCAGGTGGTCTAGGGCGTTTCCTTTTCCAACCTCCTTCCTTCCCCTGCTTGGGAGGTTCACCTCCCCCCCTCAATGCGTTTGGACGGGGGTGGGGGGTGGGGGGGGAGGTGGCGACCCGTAGCAGCGTCCAAGATGGCCCAAGATGGCTCCAAAAGGACCTCAAAGAGCGCAACATGGCTTCCAGGATGGCCCAAGATAGCGGTAGATGGGTCAAGATCGCCTCCGACACGCGTCCAAGAGGCCTCACGACGGCCCCAAGACGTTTGCAAGTGCTGTCCGAAACCTCCGAGGACCCCCCAAGAGGCCAAAATCATTAAACATCCTTAGGAAACCAATGTGTTTTGCTTTCTCGCTTTTTCGCCTCCGATGGGCTCTTGAGGCCTCAAGATGGCCCCAATACGGCCCAAGATAGCCCCAAGAGGTGTCCAAAGGGCCCCAAGACGGCCCCCAAGAGCGTCCAAGAGCAGCACAAAAGGGCATCAGGACGGCACTTTTGAGCCTCCGATGGGGGGGGTCGGAATAATTGAAGACCCCCTCCTTTTTTAGCGAAAGGGTCCAAGACGGCCCCATCCTCAGGCATCCCAGAAGAGCCCCAAAAAGGCCCCCAGACCCTTCCAAAGAGCCCCGAGAGGGCCCCAAGACGCCCCCAAAGAGCCCCAAGAAACCCTAAGAAGGCCCTAAGAGAGCCCCAAGAAAGAGCCCCAGGAGGCCCCAAGAGGGGCCCAAGAGAACCCCAAGAACGCCCCAAGAGGGTCATCGAAACATCCCTCACCCGTCACCAAAACACCAGCGTAGCTTGCACCGGCTTCCATCTTAAACTCAATGCGCAATGCGGGAAGCTATGCGTGATCCTTGATTTCCCGAAGACGGCTGCGCGACTGCATGCGTCTTGCCGCCCCTGGTTCAGCAACTCCCCTGCTGATCGTTTCTGGATGGGCTGCTTGGAGTATTTGTTTGTCTGCGAGCGCAAGCGGAAGAGCCGCGCGCCGTCAGGAGACTGCCGACCAGCGACGACCTAAATTACAGCGGCCTAAAACGAACCGAACGCGCGCAGCAGACAAGCGGCGGGTAACCATGCAGCCTAAGCGGCGGAAGCGGGCTCAACCGCAGCTCCGAAAACCACGCGAGGACCCAACAGCAGGCCAAAATGGCTGTGAATTCGGCGGCGCCCACAGTGCGATGCCGTCACTCACTGATCTCAGCAAGCGTTCCCTCGGGGTTGGTTCCCTGGTGGGGATACGCGAAGCGTCAACACTTCAATTGCGAGGAAGTCTCGAGCGACAGCGCCGTTCCTGAGTTCGGGGGCCTCTCTGGCAAGGGTGTCTCGGGGTAATTTGTGAGGAAGTATCGAGCGGGAGCCGTTGTTGTCATAACTGGGCCTCTAAGGGCCCACATTTAGGCTCAAGCCAACGCTCGAGCGGGAGCCTCGTTTTCAGAGAAAATGTAGTCGGCGTCGAAGCAAGAGCGCGCGGAACCACTTCAGGAACCCAAGAGTAATAATCATTTAAACATGAATTTTCAAATACAACGGCCACCCCCACCACCACAACAACACCGTCAACGGCAACAACACAACAACACCAACATCAACAACACCACCAACAATAATAACAACACCATCAACAACACCAAAAACAACAACGCTTGTCCAACACTGACAACGGCCGCTGTTGGGCAGGTGAACGTGCGTCTCAAATGAACAACGACCGCGGCGACGCCGACAGCGAATCCTGCCCGGAATGAATAAGGCCTGCTGTTGGACGTTGTACCCAATGCTTCCGTACCCAATAACTGATCCCCCTGAAAAGTGATCCGTGAAACGATACCCCCCAAGAGGCCTTACGAGGCCCCATAGGTTCCCAAAAGGCCCCCAAACTTCCAAACGAATGCCCTTGAGGGCGCTCCGAAAGGGACCCTCAAAAGCATCCCTAACGACTCTGACCCGCAAGCACGGTGGCTGGGATCGGTTAGTCGATACGAACTCCAGGTTAGATGCTCATTCTGGGGACCTTCCTGGAGCCACTCGCTCCACTCGTGCGTCGAAGCTGCGTCGAACCTGAGTCGAACCTGAGTCGAACATGAGTCGAACCTGAGTCGAATCTGAGTCGAACCTGAGTCGAATCTGAGTCGAACTTGAGTCGAACCTGAGTCGAACAGGTCCATTAGGTGGCCCCTAGGAAGGTCCCCAAAACGAGCATCGAACACCAGGTCACCCCGGCAGAGGGCCACTCCCTGCGCCCAGCCGAACAGCGCCCCGGCGCCCCGCGAGGCCGACCCGGCCCGGCCGGGCGCGCGCGCGCCCGCCTCGGAGGCCCGCGCCGCCGCCAGGGACACCGAGGGCGGGCCTGCCCGGAGAGCGCGCCGCGCGGCACGGGCCGGATCGGTCGCCGTCACCGTCGTCGCTGTCGTCCTCGTCGTCCTCGTCGTCTTCGCGGTCCTCGTCGTCCCCGAAGTCGTCGTCGTATCGAGGGATCGATGTCGGCTGCGCGCAGGGGCGACATCTGCATAGGGGTGACCGTCCGTTCGCGTGCTGCTTTCGGGGGATCCGCCCGCCCCCCGCCCCCTGGGCGCCTTCTTGGCGCTGCACCGAAAGGTCACCCCAGCACAAACGCGGTGGTTTGGAGCATCGCCTAAGGATGGTCGAAGACCGAGGTTGTTGGGCCAACTCGGACGAAGTGCGGGTCCCGAGGAAGGGGCCTGGAACTCTGGAACGCCCACGGGGTGATCACATCAAAACTTTGGAGGCTTGAGGAGGGGAGGCGGACCAGGAAAGTTCTACGGCGTTGTCGTCCCTGGGCATCCTGAGGAGCCTTCGTTCCCACGGGTCACGGGTGGACCCCGCTTTGGAAGTCCCAGGGAGAACGCCCTCCAGGATAAGGACTGAGAGAGAGAGACTCAGATGGGTTCGAACAACGGTCACTGCAGAAGGCGCTGGACCGTCGGACCATACCCCGCCCGCTGAATCCGTCACCTGTACCCGAGAACGGTCTCGAAAACGGATCCAACCGCCATGGGAACGGAAACCGACAAGCCAGAAGCAGCCTGGAAACGCGCAGCGGCGCATAAACGACACGACGACCGACCGAACCGAGCCGACTGAGCGCAACCAACTGCGACGCAACCGACCTGACCGAAACGTGGTTCCCCTTTTTCGAACCCTGCTCCGGAAGCTGGAACGGGGTCAAGTGTAGGGAATCAACCCAACTCTCCAGTGTAGAACGACAAGAAGAAACGCCCAGTAAGGGGCGCGGAGATGCGCGTTGCGCAGCAACGGCCGTGGCGATGACCGGAGAGACAGCGAGGGTGATAGGGAGGATGGAAAAAGCGGAAGGAGAGGGAGTTGTGTGGAAGTGCATGGGGAGGCCAGGATTGCGGGACTGCGGGGTCACTCCAAGCGCGGTGCAATTGGAAAATGGTGAGTCTCACTCTGCAGGATGTGAGCATGGGCCTCTGGGCCAACTCCCTTCACACGGCGACGATTGCACGAGGCATCGCTCACGTTGGCCAGGAGGGCTCAGGGGATCACACCGTCTCCATCAATGCATACGAAGATCCGCGGCGCCTCTTCGGCTCCTCGGCAACCGTCACGCCGTCAGACTCCACGTCCAAGACACGAGCAGCAACCGAAGCAACCTCCGAAACGCCGTTGCACTCACCCGTCACGTCGTATGTTTGCACCACTGCACCTGCCATCGACTCCTGCGAGACCAGGGCATCCCCAAATTTCTCGGTGACCACGTCGACGTACCTCTCCCCTTCCACCGCGACGGAGATGTCCGACACAGCGCTGTCAGTCGACTCCGCGCATCGTGATCCACGGTTGCCACACGCCACAGCCGTGCCAGCCATCCGCAACGGCTCAGGATGAGCCATGCGCAGCCCAACCACCTCCGAGTGCGCGCCCACGTTCTGGCCATGCTCGGACTACGTCGCGCTCGGCATCTGCAGCACGTCTCCCTCCTCAAAACCATCCACCGTGGGGGGGCGCCCCGACGGCAAGATACGGAATCTGCACGCCCGCCTGCACACCGGCTGCCTCGGGCCGCACGGGCGAGGCGCCAGGCAGCGACCGAACCGTGGCCCCGCACGCGCAGTGCACGCCAGCCGCGCGGCAGGCAGCCAGCGGCACGAACGGCAACGCCACGGCACGCATGCCGCCTGCGGTGTTTCCCGGCCGCGGGCCAGCAGCAGCCCACGACAAGTCCCCCGAGGATGCGGCCGAGAACCTGCCAGGCCTGCACTCGGCGCGAACTCCAGCCAGTCTTCTCTTGCCCGAGCCGCATCGCGCCAAGGACACGATCCCCTGCAGCAGGTCTGTGCGATGCAATGCTCGACCCTCGCTCGCGGTCCACCCACGAGCCCGGGGCGCCGCGTGCCGCCACAGGCGGCCGCAGCGCCGGCACCGCGAGCAGGTCGCCGAGCAGCACGTCTCGCCGCGAGGCGCCGAGGGGAGTCCTTCTCGGTGGCCCTCAGCTCACGGGCCCGTGACAGCAGCGGGCGTCCCCGCGCAGTCGCCCGCCGAGAGCGCAGCGGCAGCCCGCCAGCACGCCCAGAGGCACAGGCGCCAAGCCAGCTCGAGTCGGGCGCCGTCCGCAGGACGGCTCGAGCCGAGCTGGGAGCGGGCGTGGAAAGGGAGGAGGGGAGTGAGGACGCTGGGGAGGAATGGGGGGAGCAGGTGGGCGAGAGCGAGGGAACTGGGAGCAGGTGGGGAGAGGAAGGAGGATAGAACGAGGAAGGAGGATAGAACGAGGAAGGAGGCGCGAGGCGGAGAGCGGACGGAATGGGGTGGGATTGGGGGGAAGAGGAAACAAGAGGTGGGAGGTGGGAGGACGAGGGAGAGCGGGTTGTGGGTGGGTACTCCAGATTTCGTAATAAAAGGGAGGGAGTCTCAACCCTCCAAGACGGGAAGTTTTAGACCCTCCCAGACCATCCATAAAAGGGCGGCCCTTTGCCCAGACCCCCCCGAACCCTCCAAGACAGCTCAAATCAGACCCCCCCCCCAAATGTGACCCCCCCGACTTTATTATGGAATCCGGAGTACTGTGGGGTGGGGGCGCAGAGGGGACGAGGGAGCAAGGAGGGCGCTGGGGAGGGAGCGGGGGGAATGAGCACGGGGCGGGGGGGGGGCGATGGCGAGGATGAGTGCGAGGCGGCGGATAACGCGGAAAGGAAACGAGGAGGTGGAGGATGAGGGAACGAGGTGAATCAGGGACATCAGGAACCATGGGGAAGAAGGAGAGGGGGGGGGAGTAAGATGAGAAGGACTGGAGACACACTATCCCCCTTCTCCCCGACCTTTTCCCGTCCTCCCCCTCCCACCCCCCCTGCCCCTCCACCATCTCCCCAACCTGTGTATCCTCCTCCGCACTCATACCCCGCTGCCCCCTGCTTCCAACCTCGCACCATCTCCCCCCTAAACATCCATCCTCCACCTCATTCCCCCCCCGCCCCCGAAACCTCGGGCACACGCTAACAAGGATTAAAGATCCATGGATCTGGCGCGTGGGCGCTGGATCGCTGGATCCACGGATCGGGGAAAGTGCCCCCCACCCTCCCTGAAACCAGTGCGGCTTGATTTGGCGACGGAGCGCGCCGACGTCGCATGGAAGCGGGACACGTCGCTACTCCACCCGCCATTGCTCGATGACTGCGTTTCTCGACTTCCCTTCACGGCGCTCCTAAGGAGAACAAAAAACTGCATACACATAACTTCAGGGAGGGTAGCGCGGATTTCCTGGATCGGCGCTGGAGAATCGCGCGGAGTTCAGAGAGGGTCGCGCGGAGCGCGCCAGGGGCGGCACCGGAGGCGCCGCCACGGGTACCCAGTGCCGAGCTAAAGAGTCCGCGCGGAACTCAGAGAACTTATGCCTTTCATGCCGCTTTTCTTCTTCGACTCCCCCCTGCGCGGCGCCGCCCCCAGCCCCGGACCGTCCCACGGCACGGGGTGGCGGTCGAGCACGGCCGTGCTCTCGGGGAACGGGTACCCCGCCGACCCTGGGGTCAGCGCGTAGACCTCGCGGCCCGGCCCCCTGGCCCCTGCTCGCCCTACTCATCCTGCTGCGGCTGCGGCTGCTGCTCCTGCCCTTCCTCGCCTGACCCCACGCTCCCGGCGCTTCCCCCGCGCGTCTGGCCTGGTCCCCCATTTCTCCCCGTCCTCCCCCTCCCTCCTCCCTCTTCCTCCCTCCCTCCCTCTTCCTCCCTCCCTCCCTCCCTCCCCCTCCCCCTCCCCCTCCCCCTCCCCTCCCCCTCGCCCTCGCCCTCGCCCTCGCCCTCGCCCTCGCCCTCGCCCTCCCCTCGCCCTCCCCCTCCTCCTCCTCCTCCTCCCTCCTCCTCCTCCTCCTCCTCCTCCTCTCTCCTCCTCCTCCTCCTCCTCCTCCTCCTCCTCCTCCTCCTCCTCTCCTCCTCCTCCTCTTCCTGCTCCTCCTCCTCCTCCTCCTCCTCCTCCTCCTCCTCCTCCTCCTCCTTCCTCTCCTCCTCCTCCTCCCCTCCTCCTCCTCTTCCACCTCCTCCTCCTCCTCCTCCTCCTCCTCCTCCTCCTCCTCCTCCTCCTCCTCTTCCACCTCCTCCTCCTCCTCCTCCTCCTCTCCTCCTCCTCCTCCTCCTCCTCCAACTCCTCCCTCCTCCTCCTCCTCCTCCTCCTCCTCCTCCTCTCCTCCTCCTCCTCCTCCTCCTCTCTCCTCCTCCTCCTCCTCCTCCTCCTCCTCCTCCTCCTCCTCCTCCTCCTCCTCCTCCTCCTCCTCATCCTCCTCCTGATTTACTGTTGCTCTGCCGTGCCTGCCCCGTCATCACCCGTCCCCGTCCTCATCTGTCTCTCTTGATCGCTCTCTGACCTGTTGTTGCTCAGCCCTCCTTCCCCCCTTCCTATTTTCAGCGTTTGGCCCTTTTTCCTCGGCATGAGCTGGTTTCTTCGGCGCTGGTTTCTCCGGCACTGGTTTCGCTTCGCTGGTTTCGCCGACGGCTGGTTTCGCCGGCGCTGGTTTCGCCGACGGCTGGTTTCGCCCAGCTGGTTTCGCCCCGCTGGTTCCGCCCCGCTGGTTTCGCTGGCAGCTGGTTTCGCTGGCGGCTGGTTTCGCCGGCGCTGGTTTCGCCGGCGCTGGTTTCGCCGATGCCGTCGTCGACGTCTGCGTCGCCGTCATCGCCGCTGACGCCGCCGCCGTCGTCGTCGTCGTCGTCGTCGTCGTCGTCGGCGTCGGGCGTCGGGCGTCGGACACGAACGGGCGGGTCGGGTCGGGTGGGCGGACCCGAACGGGCGGGTCGGTCCGGGTCGGGCGGGCAAACCATAACAGGAGAGTCGGGTCGGGCGGGCGGAAGATTAAACTGTCGGGCGCGCTCGATCGAGCACGCGCAAACCCCAACGGGCGGGTCGGGTCGGGCGGGCGGGCCTTAGCGATCGGGTCGGGCTGGGGTCGGCCAGACCGTAACGAACGGGTGGGGTCGGGCGGGCGGGACATTGAACTGTGGGGCGCGCTCGACCGAACACGCACGAACCCCAACGGACGGGTCGGTGGGGCGGGCGGGCCCTAGCAACGGTGGGAATTGGGTCGGGCGGGCGAACCATAACGGGCGGGTCGGGTCGGGGGGGGATCATTAAACTGTCGGGCGCGCTCGACCGAGCACGCGCAAACCCCAACGGGCGGGTCGGGTCGGGCGGGCGGGCCTTAGCGATCGGGTCGGGCTGGGGTCGGCCAGACCGTAACGAACGGGTGGGGTCGGGCGGGCGGGACATTGAACTGTGGGGCGCGCTCGACCGAACACGCACGAACCCCAACGGACGGGTCGGTGGGGCGGGCGGGCCCTAGCAACCGTGTCGGGCCGGGTCGGGCGGGCGGACCCTAATTAACAGGCGGGTCGACTTCGGGTTCGGGCGGGGCAATGTGACATTGAGCTGTGAAGCGCGCTCGACCGAGCACGCGCGAACCCTGACGGGCGGGTCGGGTCGGGCGGGCGGACCCTAGCGGTCGGGTCGGGTCGGGTCGGGCGGGCGGACCCTAAAGGGCGGGTCGAGTCGGGCGGGCGGGACAAACAAATGTGGGGCACGCTCGACCGAACACGCGAGAACCCTACCAACGGGTCGGGTCGGGCGGGTGGACCTTAGCGGACAGGCCCTGTCGGGGCGGGAGGGTGGCCCTAAGAGGCGGGCCGGGTCGGGCGGGCGGGACAATGAAGTGTGGGGAACGCTCGACCGAGCATTCGCGAATCCTACCGGCGGGCCAGGTCGGGCGGGTGGACCTTCGCGGGCGGGCCGGGTCGGGGCGGGAAGGAAGGCCCCAAGAGGCGGGCCGGGTCGGGCGTGCAGGACATGAACGTCTGAGGCGCGCTCGCACGCGCGAAACCCAACGGGCGGGTCGGGTCGGGCGGGCGGACCCTAGCGGGCGGGTCGGCCAGGCAGCTTCGCCGACGGCAGCTGATTTTGCCGATGGCAGCTGGTTTCGCCGACAGCAGCTGGTTTCGCCGACGCATGATTTCGCCGACGGCAACTGGTCTCGACCGGCGGCGAAGCCAGCCGGGCGAAACCAGCTGGGCGAAACCAGCCGTCGGCGAAATCAGCGGTTGCCTTCTCCTCCTCCTCCTCATCTTCTTCCTCCTCCCCCTCCTCTTCTTCTTCCTCCTCATCAGTTTATGAATTCAGCCACCGCCGCGTAGGTGACCACGCAACGGCTCGAGAACAGCGCCTCATCTCGCTTCGCGCAGTCGGGAGTCACCCAGGCGCGGTGGCTGATGCACGTTGCTTTGGTGTCCAGCGAAGGTTACAAGGCTGACGCAGTTGAGAACGTGAGACCAGGACTCGCGCAACATTTCGCTTCGAGGCCCCTTGGACGGCCCTCCAATCACGGCGACTCAAGACATCTACTGAAAACACCACTCAAAGCATTCTATCTACCTGCGCCTACCTCCCCCCAACTTGCGAGCAAGGTTGCCTCTTGGCGCCCTGCTGGACATGACCGCCCTCGAGACCTCACTGCACACCCTCTCGGTCGAGATGGTGGCGCCCTTCATGATCATCATGGCCGGGGGGATCTCCGCGGGACTGCAATGCTTGAGACTGCGCAGGCATGGGTCTGGATCGCCTCCTTGAAGCGCTGCCAGCAGACGTTGTTCCTGTGCTTCGCCGTCCGGTAGCAACGCGTGCCCTCCCGAAGTGGTATGTGAACCGATTCCTGGCGCCCTTCCCAAGCTTGTCGCACTTTTGAAGGCACGTCGCTTCGCGCGCCCAGTCCGCTGCGTCGCGCGGGCTGCCCTGCTCCAGCACGATGCCGATGCGCCTCAGACCTCCCGAGCACCGCTCTGCGTCGCCCGGCGCGTCCGCGGAGGAGCACTTCTCTAAGACGTAGAGAACTGCGAAGAAGACTTGGAAGCTAGGGCCCCCCATGTCCTCCTCGGGCTTGCCCTTGCGCTGCTCGATGAAGTCCCGGCGCGCGTTGGCTGCCACCTGTCTTATGGCGCACTTCCTGAGGATCATGACTGCGGAGAGGCCCCGATGCTCGAGCATCCCCGCGCGCGCCTCGAGCTCGAGCGCGAGTGTCTTGATGCCGCTCGCCATGGCCCCGTCGTCGTCGCCCCCGCCCTCGCCCGCGCCCACTGCCGCCGCGGCTGCGGCTGCCCCTCTGCGAGCAGATCCCCCCCTCGGCTTCTGCGGGCGCGCTGCTCCTTCTGGCGCAGCGAAGCTGGCCCCCTTCGGGCGCGCAAGCCATGGGCGCTCCTCTGCGGCGGCTGCCCCCCGGCGACGCCGCCGCCGCGCGTGGCCTCTCGCCGAGGCGATAGTGGGAGATCTCCTGCCCCTGCGAAACCCGCAGCGCCCGGAGGGAGATGGAGTGCACACCCTATGCGAAGATGGAAATTCCGAGGAAGCAATTCATGGATATGTTGCCCAATGCTCGAGCAAGAGGTCTCCTGAATCAGCTTCTCAGTCGCGCATCGGGCACCGAAGATTATGGTTCGCACAGCTTCAAAACGGGCTCGGCCACGAGGACAATGGTTTCGCTTGAAGCTTGCCATGCCGTGACGTTTTGCTGACTTCACCGTTCGCAATAATGTTTCCAAGAATTGGCTTCCGTTCGTCATCATAAGTATTGGCCCGACGTCCCTTTCCGTGGATTCCCCCATCCACTGTGCACATGTGTGACATGAGCGATTGTTTGGGGGCCGGGACCCGCGCGTTGCGACGTCCTCTTTCAGCGCTGCACACTCGAACGCTCCTTCGACGCCGCCCTGAGATCCTGGGGCCCCATCTTCATGCGCGGCGTGGAAGACAGAGCGGGGCTCTTCGAAATAGAATTGCGCATGACCTTCGGGCTCGGGTGTGATTGCTTATTAAGCATGAGTGTCGTGGCGCTGCGCCGGTGCTTCCCAAGACTGAGGCAGGCCGCCTTGAGCGCCGCGCACCTCTTCGAGAACTCGCGCCCTGAGGTAACCGCCACGGCCCGAAGACCCCAAGGACGCCGAGCGCAATGTTCCGTGACCCACTGGGTCTCAACCTCGCGCCAATGTACCACCCTGGAGACTCAATGTGCCCCAGCACCCCTTAAATCGCATGTTCTGCTGCTTTGCGATGTCATGCGACGCTCCTGCCTTGGCCATCCCCCTGTTCGCCGCCTCGCCCCCCGCCTCGCCCCTCCTCTTCAACTGCTCCACCGTCGACCCCCCCCCTCTCCAAAACCTTCGACGCGATCTCATCGACGAACCGCGTCGCGCACCCCTGCCCGATGCCACCCTCGCCCCATGGCGTCGTCGCCTCGACTGCGACGTGCAAGCCGCGCCCTACAGCCTGGTCACAAAGCTCCTGAGAACAGCGGCTCGCTGCAGGTGCAGACGGATCGCGGGACGGCTCCCTGATCTCCTGGAAGAGAGCCTTCCCCTGGCCGGAACCATGTTCGATCTGCCCCGCCTTGGGTCAGAAACAGCCCCCGCGGTGATTCGGCCCTGAGAAAACCCCAGACCACGTCGGTCATCATATGCTTTGATCCACCTGCAGCATACTGTCGCGCTGGAGCGAGAAGAACGCTTTCGCTGCATCGTGGCACCGCATCAAATGACTGACGCCCGAGTGGTACTTGCGGCAAGACGGATCCAATGGAACTCCCACTGCGTTATCCCTCGTCCTCCCCTTCGGCCCTCCATATCCAGCCAGGCGGCCCCCACTTCGGATATGCCTGTCGGGCGGCGGCTCCATTGGCGCACCGCCGTAATGTGCACGTCGCCACGGTGACGCGCTGCCCTACAGGATCAAGTTCGCCGTTGCCTCTTGGAATCCTCGCTGCGAGCGCAGAATGCCGCGTCGCCGGGGCGCGCCGACGTCTCCTGCATTCAAGTATCGAACGACTAAGAATCGACAAGGCGCGAAAAGGGCTCCGAAACTTGGGCTGCCCGTGTCCTACGCCGCCCTGCACTGCGGGTTGTCTCGGATTAATCCAACTGGGAAACAACATGCTGCGAAGGCCCTCTGGTCGACCACTCAAGCGTGGCCACGCCCTCCAGAACTTGAAGCGCCAAAATGCATATTTCATGTTGCCCAAGTCCTCCGCGGTAGCGAGGGTGGTTTCCGAGAGTTCTCCCTCGGCACTAGGTTCACTCTGGATTTCTGGCGCAATCTCTTCGGGGGAGACGGCAGTGCCGGAACAGCCTGCTTCACCTGCTGGCTGTTGCCGTTGACCCCGGTACTGCTGCGCATCTACGCTGACGTTGTCCTCTTCGCTTGCCAGCAATCAGCCTGCTGAGCTTGCGCGCTGCACAGCCGTCCCCGGCCTGCAGCGCCTCCGGAAGCTCAGCGCGCCTGGGATCCTTCCACTCCAACCAATGCTGCTTGGCGGTGTTCTTGGGCTTGACACTCAGCTCGCGCATCTGTCCGCATGCAAGATCTTGTTGTCGTTCAGATTCTGCCGCGCCACGTGCCCCTCGAAGCTCCTGTCGCAAGAGTGGCAACCGCCGCACATCTCGCGCATTGCGGTTTCGCTCCTCAGTGCGCTGCGGACCCTAGGGGGGTACTTCGGGTAGGGCCGTGTTTGCTACTTCCATGAAGCACTTATTCACGTCGTCTAGATCTTCCCTGTCTACACTCTCCTCCACCCGCGCCTGCGCCGTCTCTCATTCACGCTCCATAGCATCAGAGAGCTCATGGCGCTTGAAAGCCCCCAGCGCGCATCGGTACATACTCTCGCGATCAGGTCGCGGAAGGCGCGCTGCAAGCTGCGGTGGGCGGCCAAGAAAGATCGCGAGCTGAGTCGGGCAATGATCACTCGGCGCCGCAACGTTGTGCACGTGCAATATGCTGCCTGATCTCGTCAGCAAGTGGCATTTTCTTCATCGCGCGCATCGCTAATCCTGGAATCGAAACGTGGTCAATATACGTCTCTCCGCGCTCGTCAATATAGCTGCCCCGATTCTCGACATGTGTGTTCGCACTCATTCAGTTCTAACCCTGGAAAGGCGGCCGAACCGTGTGCAAATATAGCGACGGAAGCCCACGGCCGGTTTCCCCTGCGACGCTGTCCTGCCCAATGACAGGTCGCGCGCCACTGAGGTTTGTGGAGATGATGGGCGCGGCCAATCTGGAGACTAGAAACTGCAAGGTCTCGCGTACCCAATCACGCAACATCTGCAATGTTTTGTCATGCGCCGCTTCCCTGCTTGCCCCCTGTTGGCGGGGTGGTGCATATACAGCTATGAAGCCAAGGGGGGTGGTCGCCATTCGCGGATAATACAGCAACAGCTCGACCCCAGAGAGACTTCGGAACTGGCACAGTGCGACGCATCTGATACCGTCTTACCCGACTTGCTCGAAATAGGCACGCGACGCCACATAACTGATTCACATACCTCCCCCTGCCGCGTCCGTGCTCGAGCGCCCCGTAATCTTCTACCTGCTTGCTCTCCTCGCACTGTTTGCCTGGGCTGGGCTTCTGAGTGCCGACCAACGTCACCACATCGTGATTCAGAATATCGTGCAGTATGCCAGTCATGCGAGGGACAGAGTTGCATGCGCAAGGATTATACACAACTGCTCTGAATGGCCGATTCATGATCCTGAAGAATCAACCAAGGGTCAGAGAAGAGGCGCCGCCGCCTCCGCCGGAGAAGATCCTTCCTTCCATCGTAGCTTCGCGCGAGCTTCGGGTACCCTGGTTCACCTAGGTGGCCTCTGCAAACACCTTCGCGACTCGAGCAAACCATCTCCTCCTCCTCCGCCTCCTCCTCCTCCTCCTCCTCTTCCTCCTCCTCCTACTCCTCCTCCTCCTCCTCCTCCTCCTCCTCCCTCTCTTCCATGTATGATGAGCATTTGTCTATGAGTCATCCTTTTCCTCCTCTCCCTCTTCCTCCTCCTCCTCCTCATCATCATCAGCAGCATCATCAGCATAAGCAGCGCCTCCATCATCATCATCATCATCATCGTCATCAGTATCAGTATCAGTATCTGTATCATCATCATCATCATCATCATCATCATCATCATCATCATCAGCAGCACCATCTTCATCAACATCAGCATCATCGTCAGCATCATCAGCACGGTCAGCATCACCACCATCATCATCAACCGCAGCATCATCATCATCATCAAAATCATCACAATCATAATCATCAACATCGTCACCGCCACCTCCACCACCATCAACATACTCAGCATCGCCAGCACCAACATTATCATCATCATTATCATCAACATCAATATTATGATCACAATCGTCGTCATCACCATCATCACCAGCAAGATCACGATCACCACCGCCACCATCATCATCAGCATCATCAGCATCGTCATCATCATCATCATCATCATCATCATCATCATCATCATCATCATCATCATCATCGTCATCATCATCATCACCCTCAGCCTCATCATCGTCCTCATCAGCATCGTCATACCCGTAGCATCATCATCATCATCCGCATCCTCATCCTCATGATCATCCTCATCAGCATCACCCGGGCAGGAAGAGCAGGGAGAGGAAGCAGCAGCGCACATGCAGGACGCTCTGCACGTCTCGAGAGCGCTCCGAAGGACGCTCGGAGGCCCTGCCCGGGAGGCCGAGGCAGCGGGGGAAGGAAGCACCCCTCGCCCCTGGCCGCCGTGCACAAACACTCCGCCGGGGGCCCAAGAAGGAGCGGCGGCAGGACGGGAGACGAGCAGAGCAGGAGAGGCACGAGGAGACACGTCGAAGACTGGAGGCCGAATGCCTGGAGCCGTGCAGCGTTCCTGGCCCAGTGTCGCACATCACGGATCGAGCGGGAAGAGGAGGAGGAAGAGGAGGAGGAGGAGGAGGAGGAGAGGAGGAGGAGGAGGAGGAGGAGGAGGAGGAGGAGGAGCGTACATTCACGCAAGGGCGGTCGAGTGCCCTGGTCGTGACTGTCGTTGCGGCGTCGTGATCGTGTTCTCCCCGCCGGCCTTCTGTCGGCTTCCGACGGCGAAGCCACCCGAGTTCTGCTCACGCCGGTCTCCGCAGAGGAAGAGAGGCCAGCCTGTCGATCCCTCGCAGGCGGCGCCCTTGCTGAAGCGCCCGGAGTACCCCAAAACTGCTTTCATAACCCCCCCCCTCCCCCGAGTCACTCCGTCTGGCAGACCGTTGCAGCACCCCCCCCGCAGCGCCATCCACCCCCACCGCGCTTACGCCCCTGGAGGGACAGCCCGCTCCTCATCCGCCCGGGGAAGTCCGCCTCCCCGCGCTTGCTGACCAACTCGGGGTGTCACCTCCAGTGCCGCTCTTGGCCCGTCTTTGGGGGCCTGTCGGGCCGTCTTGGGCCGTCTTGGGGTGACATCTGGGGCCTGCTGGGCCATCCTGGACTGTCCTTTGGGGCCTCTTGGGCCGGCTGGGGGGCCCAACCTCCTCGAACCGACCTCGATCAGGTGCCTCGGTCCGACCGCACCCATGCATTGGCGGGGCCGGCCTGCGAATCAAACTCGGCCGCGCGCGATGCCTCGGCGGCCCGTCCCCGCCCGGCCGGCCCCCGCGGCACGCGCCTCGAAGTCCACGACCTCGCCGCCCTCGGCGCCCAGGAAGCCGCCGCCGAGCTGGAGCGACCCGCTCTCGGTGGCCTGGAGGGGTTTCGGAGGGGGGCGGCGCGCCCCTCCGCTGCGGTAGGCGCGGCCGGCCCTGCGACGACGCGCTCCCGCCGCGCCGGCGCGGGCCCTGCTGCGTCCTGCGCCGCGCGGGCCGCTCGGCCCCCGGGCGCTCGGAGCTCTCCGGCGGTGGGCATCGCTCGAGGACGGCCTGGCTCAGGCCGCCGGTGGCCTGCGTCGCCGCGGCGTCGCCGCAGCAGGAGCCCGCGTGGCGCCCCCGGTTTTGCCTCTCTGCGAAGCCTGCGCTGCCGTCCGAAGCCGATCCACGGTCGAAGACTGGCGGGTGCGAGGGTGAGCGGGAGGAGAGAGGAGGAGGAGGAGGAGCCCCCCAGACGGCTTCTCCCCTGCCGGCTCTGCTCCGCAGTGCTGTTTCGCCCCTCCTCCTCCTCCTCCTCCTCCTCCTCCTCGTCCTCCAACTCCTCCTCCTCCTCGTCCTCCTCCTCCTCCTCCTCGTCCTCCTCCTCCTCCTCCTCCTCCTCCTCCTCGTCCTCCTCCTCCTCCTCATCGTCCTCCTCCTCTTCCTTGTCCTCCTCCTCCTCGTCCTCCTCCTCCTCCTGCTCCTCCTCCTCGTCCTCCTCATCCTCCTTCTCCTCCTCGTCGTCCTCCTCCTGGGCGATTGTGGCACTGACGTCACATGATGTCAGTGGTGGCGCTACCTCCCCCTCCCAGGAGGCGGTCGCCCCCCCAGGGGGGTGGTCACGGCAATCATCTGTGAAAAACGGGACGATCGACCAGCTCAGACCCCCGCGGCCAGGGGCGGGGGCATTAGGGCGGGGTAACTAGCTAGGCGCCCCTGCGCCATGGCGTAGGGAGGGAGGAGGAGAGCAAGACGGAATCGCTCCAAGAGGACTAGGGGAGGAGGCAGGAAAGCTGGCGTGCGGTTGGCAATGGAGGTTGGAGGTGGCGCTGGCTGTTGAGCGTGGCCGCACCCACGCTCGTTCAAGGGCCTCTCCCCTGCCCCATACAGAGGCCAAGAACTCTGCCCCCAGTCCTACCAAGGGGGCCTTCACCCGCCGAGGCAGTCCTTCTTCTCCTCCTCCTCCTCCTCCTCCTCCTCCTCCTCCTCCTCCTCCTCCTCCTCCTCCTCCTCCTCCTCCTCCTCCTCCTCTCCCCTCCACCTCCTCTGCCTGCTCCCCCTCCTTCCCCTCCGCCTCCTCCTGCTCCACCATCGACATCCCTTAAACATTCCCCGCGCCTAATCATTATTATCATCATCCCAATTGCCTCCTCCATCCTTCCTCCTTCTCCTCCCCGACCCCTCCTCCGCCTACCATCCTCCATCCTTGTCCTCCACCTTCACCATCCTCCACCTCCAACCTCCACCCTCCTCCTCAACGTCCTTCTACCTGCTACCTCCTCCTCCTCCTCCTCCTCCTCCTCATCCACCTCGCCACGCCGTTCCCCACTCTCGACTCTTTCTCTCCTCCTGCTCCTCCTCCTCCTCCTCCTCGCCATTCTCCCTCTCCTGCGCCCCATTTGCTCCTCCTCCTCCTCCTCCTCCTCCTCCTCATCATCACCTTCATCAGCAGCAGCACCATCATCAAAATCACCAGCAGCATAATCATCACCATGAGCATCCACAGCAACACCATCATCATAATCATCAGCATCATCAGCACCATCATCCGTATACTCATCATCATCATCATCATCATCAGCAGCAGCAACATCAGCAGCATCATCGACAACAGCATCACCAGCATCATCAGCATCACCAACATCATCGGCATCATCATCAGCAGCAGAAGCATCATCGTCGTCACCGTCATCGTCATTATCATCGGCATCATCAGTATCAGCTTCATCATCATCAGCATCGTCATCAGCATCATCATCGGCATCATCATCAACATTATCACTACCGTCGTCCTCATCATCAGCACCACCAGCATCATCATCAGCATTACATCCCAATCACCATCGTCATCATCAGCATCACACTCCTCCTCATCACCACCATCGGCATCCTTACCATCAACATAACCAGCATCCTCGTTATCATCCGCATCAGCAGCAGCTGCATCACGAACCTGAGCATCAGCATCAGCAGCATTTTCATCATCAGCAGCAGCATCGACATCCGCATCAGTATCAGCATCATCGACAGCATCACCATCATCACCAACGGCATCAGCATCTACGACATCATCTTTCTCCTCGTCGGCATCATCAACATCATCATCATCTTCATCATCAAAAACACCACCATCACAATCCTCATCAGACACATCAGCACCAACAATAATGTCATCACTGTCATAGCCATCATTCGCATCGCCGTCAAAACCATCATCATCCGCATCATCGCCACCATCACCAGCATCTGCATCAGCATCATCACAATCAGCATCATCATCATCATCATCATCATCATCATCGCCATCATCAGCATCACAACCATCATCATCAGCGGCAACATCATCATCATGGTAAGCATCATCAACATCGTCCTCATCGACGTCGTCATCTTCATCGGAATCGCCATTGCCGTAGTCGCCCTCTTCATCGGCATCGTCAGCATCGTCATCCTCATACTCCAAGTTATCAGCAACATCATCGTCATCAACATCACCATCATCATCGTCATCTACATCATCATGATCATCATCCTCATCCCCAACATCACCATCATCATCGCTCAGCGGCATCGTCAGCATCATTATTGTCATCGTCATCAGAATCACCATCACCATCAGCACCAGCAGCATCGTCATCATCACCATCATCATCCTGGTCGCCATCATCGTCAGCATCAAATCACCATCAGCAGCAGCATCATCAGTATCATCATCAGCGTCACCAGTAACATGAGGAGTATCCTCACCAGCATCACCGTCATCAGCATCATCAACATCATCAGCATCAGCCTCACAATCATCATCATCATCATCATCAGCATCCGCATCATCATCATCAACGGCATCAGCATCAGCATCATCATCACGATCCACATCATCATCATCATCATCATCATCATCATCATCATCATCATCATCAACATCAACATCAGCATTAGCATCATCGGAATACGCGTAATCTTCATCATCAGTGGCATCGGCATCATCATCAGCAGCCTCGTCATCATCATCATCATCATCATCATCATCACCATCAGCATCAAAATCACCACCATCACCATCATCAGCACCATAATCGTCACCACCATCATCATCGTCACCATCACCATCACCATCATCACCATCACCAGCATCATCATCATCATCATCATCATCATCATACTGATGATCATCACCCTCAGCAGCAGCATCATCATTATCATCGTCAGCGTAATGGTAATCATCATTATCATCAGCATCAACATCGCCATTACCATCATTTACCCTCGTCATGAGCATCACCACCACCAAGGCAATTATCATCATCATCATCAGCATCATCAGCATCAGAATCACCGTCACCATCATCATCAGCATCACCATCATCATCATCATTTCCATCCTCATATGCACCATCACCATCATCAGCATCATCATCATCATCATTATCAGCATCAGCATCAGCATCAGCATCAGCATCAGCATCATCATCATCATCATCATCATCATCACACTCTACCTCTACGTTCCTCTCGGCATGTGCTTGGCATGCACGTGGCCTTCCCTTGGCGACGATCCGCCCTTGGTCCGTTCCTAGAATCCTTTTTCGGGCACCATGCTGGCCAGTTTCGCGAGTCGAGCCCAAGCAACGAGGGCCCCGAGGCCCTGCAGCGAACCACAAAGGGATGAGGAGGAGAAGGAGGAGGCGAAAAGGGGACTATGAGGATCAGAGAGGCCACCTTCATCCTCCTTCGCTCCCGCCTTCCTCTGGAGACCGTTTTTCTTAATCGGCGATAACCGGGGTTATCCGGAGGGGGAGGAGGGGGCTGGCCGATAACCTAACCTTCGCGCTGTGGGCAGCCCTGCAAATGCCCGCGCCCCCCACCCCGGACCTGCACAACCGGCAAGGTACGGTTCTCCTGGGAGGGGGGGGGGAGGGGGGGCAACCCGGGCTATCGCCGGACCCGAACAAAAAACAGTCTCCTGCCCCCCCCCCCCCCCCCCCCCCCCCCCCCCCCCCGCGAAGGACCTCTGCGTCCGACACGCCAGCGTCGACGACGGCGGCGGCGAGGCCGACGACGACGGCGACGACCCCGCCCCCCTCCCACCACCGACGGGCCAAGCCTGCCCGCGCCAAACGACCGTCCGCTCGCTAGCGCTCGCCGCCGTCACCTGGCGAGCCGCGGCCGCAGTGTGTGCGAATGTGCATATCATACTATGTGTGAATTACTCTGTACATACACATGCATATCTATTGCTAATTCATGTGCATGGATCGATAGATGCACAGGTCTATCGATCTTTATACATATATATGGATCGATAAATAAATCTGCATACGTATATATATACACATAAATATACATATATGTATCGGTAGAAATATAGAAATATAGGTATACAGATATAGGTATACATCTATACATATAGATGTACATATATATATATATATATACACTTGTGTCCTCCACCGTCCCTCGAGGCACGAAATGGAATTCCCCCAAGGTTCTGAAACAACTTATCAATTTTCCTTGGCGGTCCCGCGAGCTCTCGGGCGTCCACGAGTGACTCTTCTAACGGCGGGGGCCCCCATGACGGACCAACAGGGCCCCGATAGGCCCGCAAGACGGTCCAAGGTGGCCCCGGGTCGCCCAAAAATCGTTGCAGAACGCCCAAGATGACCCACAGACGGCCCAAGAGGCCCCCAAGACGGCCCAAGAGAGCTCCAGGAGGCCTCCCAAGGCGGCCCTAGGATATTAACGTTGACGGGCGTCCGCGGTCTTACCGTTTTTCCCCACATCCAAAGTGGGGTTCTTGTTTTCTCTGCACACGCCACGCAGGATCTCCCACCCCCCCTTTCCTCTCTCTCTCTCTCTCTCACACACACTCACCATCATCACCATCATCATCACCATCAACCACCATCATCGTCATCACACGCACACACTTTTCATCATTACCATCATCATCACCATCAACCACCAACACCGTCATCACTACTCATCATCATACCCTTTCAACACTACTCATCATCATAATCCTCATCATCATCATCGTCACCATCATCACCACTCGATCAC